TCTGTGTAATAGCCCTGGCTACCTGGAGTTCACTCTGTAGACCAGGCAATAAACTTACAGAGATCCACCTGCCTCTGCTTCCAGAATGCTGGGATTAAAGGTGTGTGCCACCCCAGTACAGTTTAATATGATTTTTAAATACAAACATTAATAAAAAATATTTGAAAAGAAAGCAAGGCACACCTAAGAGAGTGTGGGCATCTCAAAGACACTTCACTGTCTTTTAGCAATAGTCATACATATGGCTCTGTCAATATAGAGGCTCCTGTCTTCAAGGGGTGGCTAATGAGCCTCAGTGAGATGAAGGAGCAGTTCCTGGGGAACACTGGACAGGATTACAACTGGTAAAGTAATCCTGGGTGACAGCTGAAGGAAGGAGAGATGTTATTACTACAAACAATGTTAACCTTTCAGAGTAGGCCAACCCAACGTCATGGTTTTACCTCCAGTTCATTGCTATTTTGATATGAAACATAACATGTGCAAGAAATATTCTCTCTGTGTCAGCAGCCTTCATAGCAAGTATTAATTATGTTGAAATTCTTGCTTCCTGGCTGGTGAGAGGCTCCATCTAGCCTGAAGGCTCCTTTTCTTCCGCATGGCCCTATTGTTTGTCTTTTCTCATCTGGCTCAAAAAGCTGTATCATTTTCCCCCAGAAACTGAGCAAGATTCACTCCAGTCTCCTTTGACCTTAGCAATTACTGTGGGGAGTGGCCTTGTGGGTCCTGAGACTTTGTGAACTTCCTAAGCCTCTTAAGTTTCCTGGGCCTTGTAACTCTCCCTTCAGATTCTGGGGAGGGGGAGGTTAGAGTGCAAGGAAATGGTAAGACATCACTGCCCTGACCCTCCCTCATCCCTGGCAATCCTCCCCACTTCATCCATCATGCACAACTTGGACCACAGCTGCAGTCTGTCTGAATGTTGCCTCTTGCAGGGAAGGGGTCCCTATGCTTTCCTAGTCTTGACTCCTGAAGAGCAGGGACTCAGATTTTATAATTGCACTATAAACCCTGAGCAAGCTTTCTGACCTTTCCTGTACAATAGGAATTATTGTACTGTCTAAATTCCTGGTTCAGAAGAAAAGCAGTATTTAGTGCAGGGCTGGGCAGATTAATAAGAACTCATCAGCGTTACTTTTATACAACCCTGGTTCTTCACCCACAAGTGGAGGAGCTGTTTGCTTAGTGTTTGTGCAAAAAAGGAAAGATAAGGGTGGGAAGGAGAGAAAGGAGCAGATCAATGAGCTCTGGAGACCACCTTTAGCAAAGGCAACTAGTCTGGCCTCTTCCCGATGCCACCCCTCCCATAAGCTGTAGGCAAGAGGAAGGTTGGGCTCAGTTGTATTCTAACCTACAGCCTGGATGGTGGTAAACGTGCTCCATCCTACAGCTGCTAGAGATGGAATGGCAATCAGTGCAGAGAGAGGCAGGCCCTTAGCAATTGCATGGTTCGAAGCCCCACATGGATGAGGAAGCTGGGCTTTTAAGAAGGGCTATTCCACTAGCCTGGCTCACACAGACGAGGGCTAAAATGGGTGTCTCATCCAAGTCCAGTCTACCATGTGGTCAGGACCTTTTTTTAGCATGTTTGCATCTGCCTTTCATTAAAGTTGTTCCAGGGGCCTCCACCTGAATGTATTGAGTACATTTCCTCAGGCCTTAGACACACTAGCAGAGAGGACCCCATAAACATGTACCCACAGCTGGCTGAAACTGAATCTCTGTTGAACCCCAGAATTTGAATATCTAACTTTTAAATCAATAAAGGAAAACTTCAACACATTTAAACTTTAAAAAACATTTTTTTTTAAATTCATTGGTTTATGAGCCCAGGATTATGAGGGGATAAAGTTGTAAAATGAAGTTGCAGACACAGGAGAAGCAAAACGAATTTTTGTTGGTTGGAAAGTTTCTGCCTAGAGGTTAGTTGTTGTTTTCTGGTCTCAGGGTTTACCCTGGGCTTTGTTTTGTTTTGTGGGAATTTAAATTCCAAAGCCTTCCCAGTTGAATGGCCTCCCAATCTGTGTTTGTTTGTTTGTTTTGAGTTGTTTTTTTGTTTTTGTAACTATTTCTGGTTTCAATGCCCATTTTCTCATGTTATTTCCATTTGAAAGCACAACTGAGAGCCCATTTCTAAGGAACTGTGATCTTCAGATTTGGGTTTGTAAATCAATCTTAATTAACAACTTGTTTATTAAAAAAAAAAAAAAAAAAAGTGGGCTTTGCATCATATTAGCCTGGTCCATCCTGCATTGCTGTCCTAGAGTCCCACTCACCATGCTGGAGACTGGGACATCCACTGGGACTGGCTTCTTGCTGTGCCAAGCAGTGGAAGGAAGGGGAGGACTCTAGGATCACAAACTCACTCTCCTGACACGGACATTTTCCACTCACGAGGACAGAGCCCGTGAGACTTAATCTTTCTTTTAAGGTACCACCTCTTCACTGATTTCAATAGGCGATTACTTTTCCTACTTCTGATCCTTGGGGACGTCCTCAAGCCACGTCAGCCTTAACTACCTCTTTATTCCAAACAGCCTAATTCAATTCCTGGCATTGTGCAATTGCACAATAAGGACTTGTGAATTACAGGTAGCAGTATTATGCAACATCTAGCAATGTGCCAGCCACTGTTCTAACCTTCTGTACAAATGATTACTGATGCAGGGGTCATGATTAGCACATTTGACAGATTCGGCAACCAGGCTTACAGCAGGTAAGTGGCTTCACCACCTCAGTGGGTTGGTAACTGAAATAGTTCAGCCAGTGTTCTAATCACCAGTGATAGAAAAAGCCTACGTTTACACTTATTTGTATGTTTGTTTTTGTGAATGGGGGAGTGATGTGTATGCCATATGCATGCTCACTTATGGAAATCAGACAACAACTTTCGAAAATCAGGTCTCTCCTTTTACTATGAGGGTTCCAGGAATTGAACTCAGGTCTTTGGGCTCGGCAGCAAGAACCTTTACTGGCTGAGCAATCTCACCAGACTTGATGAAAAATGGTAAAAGGGAAGGCTCCTCTGCCCGTTCTTGCCTTAATTCAGTCAGGATTTTACCCTTTCTGAACCCCAGTTTTCTCACTTGGTTGAACTTGCTAAGTTGTCTTTAGAGTTTTCAATGAGTGTCTGTACCACCACTAAGTTAGTGAGCAAATGCCATTACCTGATTGCCTGTGAGTGGCTATCAAATGAAAAAAAAAAATCTGTTCTATGCTCAACTATGATACAATTAAATTTATCATAGTAAATTTAAGTCATTTATTAAATTTATCATAAAATTAAAATTTTCTTAGTAACAGTAATTAGTTAAAAACATGTCAGTGTGTTATATTTAGGTTTAGTGTGAGATCAAAGTTTCAAGTCAGTTTAGATACTTTGGCCGCATTGGAAGATTTTCTTTTGTTTGGCTTGCTATTGTCAACCACAGTTTACCACATGTCAGAGTTCCATCCAGCCTCTAGCCTGGGGCTAAGACATTTCTTTCCATCTGCTTAGAAGGTCTGACTTGCAGTTAACATCTTTGGTCCCTTTCACCAGGTTCCCACAAAAGGCCTCACAGACAGGAAATCCTTCTGTATGAACACAGACATCTCCAAAATCTATCTGTGGATTAAAAGTAAACACTATGCAGAAACACTCTTGTGTGTTCCGGTTGTTGTAGAGAACTGTGTTTGAAATAGTGTTGACCCCAAAGCTTTGGAGTCTTTGACATGCTCTGTGTATTGAGGGCCTGCCACATGGGTGCTGGTGGACACAGCTGTACCTCCATCTGTCTGAACACAGAAAGCCTCAGCAGGGGTGGAGGTAGGGACTGAGGGGTTGCTCAATTTAGGGAATGCTTACAGCAGAAGCAGCCTAATCTGCAGGCTCCCTTCCTGACTCAGGTTTTTTGCTTTTGGCGTAACTTCCACTGGCGTGTGTGTGTGTGTGTGTGTGTGTGTGTGTGTGTGTGTGTTTAATAGAAACTTTTTTAAAAAGTGGTCTGTGCTAGTCCCTACTCCAAATGACTTGAAAGATTTAGATGACCCCTCCTGGAGGGCATCCCCCTACATGTAGAGTGGGGGGGAGAATGGGAGGGAAGGGTGGTTGGGGGTTAATGGGAGGATAGGAGAGAGGAAGGGAGAGGGAACTGGAATCGATATGTAAAATAAAAATAAATTAATAATAAAAATGTAACTATATACAAAAAAAAAAAAAAACCTGTGGATGTAACTCAGTAGTAGAATGCATGTCTGATATAAGAGAGGCTCTGGGTTTGACTCTTGACATCACATCACACACTTCAGAAAGTGTGTGTGTGTGTGTGTGCGTGTGTGTGTGTGTGTGTGTGCGCGTGCGTGTGTGTGTGTGTGTGTGTGTGTGTGTGCGTGTGTGTGTGTTGTATGGTGGGGAACATCTGTAATCCCAGAAATTTGAGGTGCCAAAGCAACAGGGTTAAAGGTTCCAAGTCAGACTGGGGAACTTATAGATGAGCCATGTCAAAATAAAACTCCCTGTGATGGAGCACAGTAAAAGAGTAGTTTCCCCAGTGTATGTGAAACCTAGTCCTAGAGGAGAAGTTTGAACGATACTTATTTTTGTAGCCAGAAATGGTGGTATGCACCTTTAATCCCAGTGCTTGGGAGGCAGATGCAGGAAGATTACAAATTGAAAGCCATCTTCAGCTGCATAGCCCTGTCAAAACAATAAAAATAAATAAATAAACAAACAACTTTTCATATAGTTCTAATAAATAGAACCTCCCTGGGTTTTAAATGGAAGCTAAAAAAGAGAGGCAAGAATCATAGCCAGCCAGGAAGGGGTGGTCCACACCTTTAATCCCAGCACTCAGGATGCAGAGGCAGGCTAATCTCTTTGAGTTTGAGGCCAGCCCAGTCTAGAAATCCAGGTCAGCCAGAGCTATTATGTAGAGCAACCCTGTCTTCAAGAACAAAAAACAAACAAACAAACAAAATAATAATTATCTTTCTCTTAACAGTATCAGGTTTTGCTCTCTCTATCTCTGGAAAGCTTCACAAATTTGCATGTCATTCTTGCACAGAGTTCATGCTAATCTCCTCTGTATTGTTCCAATGTTAGTGTACGTGCTGCCAAAGTGAGTACCAGGTTTTGGTCTCTTAATGAATTTACTTGCCCGTGCACAAAAGGAAGACTAGAACTATAATGTGATGAGAAAACTGTTAGAGGCTCTCTTCAGCCTTTTCCCCTTAAATACAATTTTGAGATGAAGCCCAAGGCTTTTCTGAGAGATACAGGTGCTAGAAAGGGAAATTTTTGAATAATGCTTATCTTCAGTTCCAGTCAGATTAGACTCTCATCTGGCCAGGTGGTAGGAGGTGAGCTGGGAAGGCCGAAGCCTCTGTGCTCCGCTCATGTAACAGTGTGGACATGAGACCATCTGCAGGAAAGGTGGAACACCATGCTAGGCCACTGTGTTGCAAATAGACACTGGGACAGAAGCCAGGTCTCCCATGTCATGATCAAACATCTGCTGTGATTACTGGGAAAAGGTTATGAAACTTAGAGCTGTTTGCATGCACAGAATGGCATGCTCTAGGTCTAAGGTTAGAACACTGACAAATCCCATTCAAAATATTGACTCAGAAAATGCCTTGTTTGGATCAAGGTGATGGTAGGACATAGTGTTTCAAGTCACATTCAGCCATTCTGATTGCAATTACACAACTGCTCAAGTCAGTCTCGAAGACCCATAACAGGGCCCATCCTGGCATCTCTATACATCATACAACGACCTCCACCTTTGTTCCCCACAGGATGACTCTGCTCCGACTTCTGGTGTTCTGCACCCTGGCTGCATGCTGCGTGGTGGCTCGCTCTCCTCCAGGGCAACCCCTTCCCCTTTCCCCCCTACTTCTGCATCCTCTGAGCTGTAACAGCTCCGAAGTGCTGGCAGTTGCGGGCTTTGCCCTACAGAACATCAACAGAGACCAAAAGGACGGCTATATGTTGAGCCTCTCCCGAGTTCATGATGCATGGGAGCACTACCAGGCAAGTGACAGCCTTTGGGGCAGCATTTGGACAGGCTGCAGAGAGCAGCCAGGGTTGGCAAGTCAGGGCTGCGTGTCAGCAGGGGCTTTCCAGTGGAAACACAGTGCTTCACCATGTTCTGGACACTTGCTGCCCCTAGGCACAAGGGCTAAGAGGATCCACTCCAGGTTTCAGCAGTATAGAAGGCATTGCTACACACATGCTTTGGCTCGCCCAGGAAGAGGCTATTCATCCAGTTGTCCTGAGATTGTTTCATGTTGGGTGGGGTATTTCTCCAACCCTACCACAGGAGGACATGGGATCCCTGTTCTACCTCACACTGGATGTCTTAGAAACTGGCTGCCACGTACTCAGCAAGAAGCCACAGAAGGAGTGCGGCCCGAGGACTTTGCATGAGTCAGTAAGTCCTTGGGGGCCGGTGCCTGTCCCATGTCCACCATCTGTTCATGACTTTCTTACCTCTCAGGCAAAGGATCCGTGTGCTTAGTCAGGAGGAGGGCCTCCTGTGATGTCCTACTAGGGTCCTACTGACTAGACTTCAACAGGTTCCCCCAAAATTGTTTTCTAGCTTAAGATCCTTCAGCAGCCACTGAGCTGAAAGGGAGATAGAGAGAGATTGAGAGAATCTGGTATGTGAATAAGCCAGACAATAGCGGTAATGGAGAATAGCTTGTTTTCTTCTGCTAGGTTTTGTTTTAATGAATATTAATATATGAGGTTTTCAGATAGGAAAAGGGGAGACTTGGAATGTGGGGAATCACCAGGCATCTTCTAGAACTTCCTGAAGCATAGAATTAAAGGGTCTCAGAACTCTCCCTTTCTCCTTTTTAAAATAATTACTTTATTCTTCAATGTGTATGAGTGCCTTGCCTGGATATATGTGTACCACATTCATGCAGTGCCCACAGCAATCATAAGGTGGCATGCGAAACACCCACAATCCCCACATTCTCCCCCACCCCCACCCCCCATCCCTGAACTGGAGTTTCAGATGGCTGTGAGTCACCGCATATGGGCATTGTAAAGCAGTTCCCTAGAAGAGTAGGAAGTGTCTTAACCACTAAGCCATCTCTCCGGCCTTGTGCTCAACTTTTCAAAGATGGCCACTGACAAGACTTAAAACCAAGGGAGTTAGTTTTCACCTGACTCTGTGATTCTGGGATCTCTTCCATGTACTGACACAGACTACCATAGAATACAAGGCGGGATCTTCAGTGGTTTGAATCAACTTTTTGATCAAGATTACCTTCCCTCATTACTTGCCAAACATGCCAACCTGCACCTGATATTGAAAAACCAAGTCTGTATATCCTCTTGTTAGAGTTGGTTTAGTGACACGGACACCCATAGAGAGGAGTGTGCTCGGTCAGGTTAGGAGTCTATTTCTTATGTAATTTCAAACTAAAATTTCCAGGGGATTTTATTATGTAATCTCAAACTTGAAGCTCCTGGCCAGAGAATTTTATTCTGGGAGTGATTTGGAGGCCCTGCTTCCTGCTGTGCTTGTCTGTGACCTTGCCACCTCCAACTGTGGCTCCCTATCCCCATGCTCACTGGCATCCAGCTGTGGAAAGATGAAGGATAGAGAAAGAAACTGTGCTGATGTGACAGTGAAGTGTGACGATGGAAAACTGTTTCTGCTCCATTCCTACAGTTAGAAGGATCGGGCCCTAAGTGTGAGGAGGCTGGGAAGTTGGCTGTGTCTCAGGAAAAGGCAACAGTCTGAAGACAAACAGCCGTTCTTCCCACCCCCAAACCATAGAACTTGACTTTAAGTTTCTTGCTAAATTAAAACAAAATTCTATTTGGCGTGGTAGGGGGGAGGTGGGGGGAATGTGTTAACCTCGTGGTTCTAGGCATCATGCCATCAAGTGTATTGTTTCTTCTAGGTTTATGGTCAATGCAAAGCAATGTTTCACATTAACAAGCCAAGAAGAGTTCTCTATCTACTTGCTTATAACTGTACTCTTCGCCCAGGTGAGTCAAGAGGGTGTGGTACCTTTTAATAAAAGATAGCAGGGGAAAGGCATTTATTTAACTAAGGCTTTGTCAAGTTGGCAGGCAGTTTCTCCCCCCTTACTCTGTGTTCCCGGTGATATCCATTGCTCAGTCCTCCAGCACCGACCCCTGCTGACATCCTCCTCCTCCTGAGGGAGCATCCCTAGATTATTATCAAGAACTAGGACTTGCTTCCAATCTTAAATTTTCAATCTCCTTCGAGTGGCACAGTACCAACAACTGGTCCCGGGTTCCTTTCTGTCTATGCCACCCTGTCACCCTTACAATGGATATGTCACACATACGAACACACGTCACATGTTCACATCTTTGTGCTTGCTTGAGCCTCTCCTTCCAATGAGGATGCCCTGCTGACCTCTGTTAAGGAACGTGCCAGTGCTGCTTCCGTAAAAGGAATGTGGCTTTCCCAGTGCATTTTCTCCACTTTGGCTAAAACACTCAAACCACCTTGATTTATAGTCTTATGTCATCTATCATATGGGATGCACATCCCTCACCCCCAGTTAAAGACTTCCTAGCTTACAACAAGTTTTAAAAGTCATTACTGTTGCTGAATAACAGGCAAGAATATGGCCAAAAATGAGTGGACAGTTGAAATAAGTGGGTTCATTTCTCCTGGATCCTGCTTTGTACAAGAGAAGGTCACTGAAAAGCAGGAGCCTATTGCATGGGAAGGTGGAGAATGTCCACTTAACGGACTATGTGCACGCACTGTCCCGTGACTCTTGTCCAAGTGCAGACTGCCTCCATCAGTCTGTCCGAGCCTGAGTCTCTAACAATCTCCTGGTGGCTATGGTGCTGCTGCTTCTTCCTGAGGGGAAGGAGACCCTGGAGCAAACACTGAATGAAGCACAGCTTAAGTGTGAACACAGGACCAGTCTGATGCAAGTCAGAGGACCACTGTAAAGAGTGCTAGTGGTTTCATACGAATGGGGACTTGGTAAGGAGGCACTGTGGACCCAGCTCTCCCACCATCTTCCTCCACCCCCAAAATGTCCATTAATTAAGACAGTGGATTTTCTCTGAAAACACTCCAAGGCTAATTCCCTTGATGAGTGCACATTTGTTATATCCAGCTCTTCCCAAAGACATTGAAACTGTACTGATGGCATAGTGGTGTGGCCAGTTTTACTTTCTGACTTATTTGCATTTCTAACAAAAGGTGGTATGTTCCCACCATAATGACGTCATCTACTGACTTTACAGGGTTCTACTGGATAGTCACTACATGATAGATTTTATTCTTAGTGTTAAGGATCACAGAGATGTAAGTCATGTCAATATTGAAACACCAACCTTTCAAAGGCCCTTGTCTACACAAGCAGTAAAAAGAAAGGACATTGAATTAGAGAGGGGACTGTCCACTGTTTTGGCATTGAAATACAATGTTGTCATCTACAAAGTTCATACCTAAGAACAGTGTGATTGAGTTGCAATTTTTTTCCATAATGTTTTAAGTATGTTTATGATTTCATGCTGGGCCAGGTTGTTGGTTGGAAATGCCCTGTGTACTTCTGAACACATTCCTATAGCAAATAAGTCCATTAGAGGTGAAGACTCCCTCACTTTGATCTAATTTTGATTACAAAAGTAATAGTGCTCAGAGACTGGACACTAGCTCAGGTCTGGAGTGTCGAGCATGCATGAAGCCCTGCTTTGATGCTAGCACCACAAAAGCCAAGCACCAGGGTACATGCCTGCAAGCCTAGCTCTGCAGAAGGCCAGCCTGGGATACATGAGACCCTGCTCAAAAAGGAGGGAGGGAGGGAGGAAGGGAAGGAGGCAAAGATAAAGAGTACTACCATTACTCTCATACTGCCGACTGAACACTTTCTCAGAAAACCGCCTTCCTCGCTGCATCCTTGCCAACACTGGTTATTATCAGTTTAGTTCGGTCTGCCTGAGGTATATATGTTTGTGTGATTATGACTCTTACTAGGACTGAAAATTAATATTTAAAAACTATTCTCATCAATAGTTTCTCAAAGAAAGATTCATTCCATGTGTCCTGACTGCCCGGGCCCCCTTTGACTTGTCAAACCCCAGAGTTCTGGAAGCTGCCACGGAGTCACTTG